CCCCCCCCGCTCACCCGGTGCTTTGCAGCTGCGGAGATGCGTGGACACCTACAAGTACATCTTCGTCTTCTCCGTTGCCAACATGAGGAACAACAAGCTGAAGGATGTGCGGAACGCCTGGAAGCACAGCAGGTGAGCGCGGGGGGCGGTGGGGAGTGCGGCCCGAGGGCTGAGCGCGGCCCCGGAGCTCATAACCGCCTCCTCCTCTTCTTCCTCCTCCTGCCGCCCCAGGATCTTCTTCGGGAAGAACAAAGTGATGATGGTGGCGTTGGGGCGAGAGCCGAGCAGCGAGTACAAGGAGAATCTGCACAAGGTGAGGGCTGGGTGTTGTCCCAAAGCTTCGCCTCAGGTGTGGGGGCTGCGTCAAGCGTCAGCGGAGCTTCCTCGGGTCACTTTTCCACGGGTGTTTTCATTGAGTCCATCTATATCACAGCAAAAAAGCTCTGTTGTTAGTGGGGTTTTCATAGCTGCACAGGATTGAACCCGAGAGGACAAGTCCCTGGGTGCTACCTGAGCCACATGGATGGTCTCTTTCTTCCAGGTCAGCAAGCACCTGCGAGGTGAAGTTGGTCTCCTCTTCACAAACCGCACCAGAGACGAGGTGGATGAGTAAGTACACGTGTGTCACAGCTGTGGGCTGGAAATGCTGAGCAGCCTTTATTCTACTCGACTTGAAAAAAGGAAAAACATCCATTTGCTGGTGTTTCTCTTAAAGCAGTTCTGATCTTATGAAGCTTTTTCACTCATTTTTCTCTGCCATCCCCACAACAGCAGGGAAGAAGTTACGGCAGGCTGTGCCATAATCCCCATCTCCTCAAGGGATGTTCTTCCTGCAGCTGAAGCTCTCGTGTCCCATCTCTGTCTCAGGTGGTTCTCCAAATTCAAAGAGGTGGACTTTGCCCGCGCGGGGAACAAGGCGACATACGCAGTGAGCCTGGACATGGGACCCTTGGAACAGTTCCCTCACTCCATGGAGCCTCAGCTCCGGCAGCTGGGACTGCCAACAACGTTAAAGAAAGGTAAGGCTTGGTTTTTATCTGTGTGGATAAATTCTTTAAGAAGAATATTAAATAATTGAGTAGAATTTCTCCTTATTTGGCTGGTGCTAGAACTGATTATGTTCTGCTTGTGCTGTTCTTCCCAAACTGGTGTCAAAGGACGAGGGAAACAATAAATTTTATACAAAATACGGTCCCTTTCCAGTGGGAACAACTCTGCCCAGCCTGGCCCAGCGCACTGGCATCCCAGTCACAAACCAGATGGGTTTTTATTTAGATCTGCTCTCCCCCAGCTTCTCAGGGTGTACAAACATTGGCCTGGAAAGGCACAAGCTACAAAGGGCAGTGTCTGACAGCCTCTTATCTCTGCACCCCAAGTTTCCCTGGGCTTACTCAGTGTTTTTGATTCTATTTCAAAGAGCTTTTGTTCCTGCAGGAGTGGTGACGCTGCTTTCAGATTACGAAGTCTGCAAAGAAGGGGATGTTCTCACTCCCGAACAAGCTCGCGTGCTGGTGAGTAACGCTGCAGCGCAGCATCTGCACCAACACCTCTGTCCCTCCATGGAAAATAATCCACAGTTCAGCTTAATCCTGCTGGAGGGTGCGAGGTCTCAGCCAAAGGGGAGCAGTGCTTCTGGGTGTCAGTCAGTGGGTGCAGCAACCATCCTTACACGTCCCTCCTGTGAGGGCTCAAACCCTGCGGTGAATGTTTTGGCTCCTGCTTTGCTGCAGTTCCGTCAGGAAGCGATGTCCACTGTTAGTACAGCAGGAATGACAGATTTGTGTCCTTTCCTAGAAACTTTTCGGTTATGAGATGGCAGAGTTTAAAGTCACCATCAAATTTCTGTGGAATTCTGAGACGGGTGACTTCCAGAAGCTCGTGGGAGACTCAGCGGAGGAAGAGGAGGAAGAGGAGGAGGAGGAGGCTGATGATGACAGCAATGAGGACTAGCAGCAGTCCCTGCACTTGGACACCAGACAGTTCTACTCTATTTTAGAGACAAAAAGAGGATGTTTCCCTTCCCTGTTTGCACCCAGAGGACAAGGACGATCAGCTCAAATGTATCTTCATGAAAGATGACATAATTATGATGCTTTTTTTAAAATATAAATTATATATAAAACTTCATCTGGTTGTTGCTGCTGCCTGTTACTGGTTTGAGCACCCCAGGCTCTGAGGAAGTGCCATCTCAAACACCAGAGCTAGGCAGGAAGCATGTCATGGAATGTAACTTAGCCACAGCACACCTGACACTTCTTATCTTCTGATAAAAGCTTCAGAAGAAGCTTTTTAGCTCAAAGTCACCAAGTGCTGCTAAGGAGATGTCAGGCAGGTTATAGCTACAGTTAAGAGATGAAGTCTGTGTTAGAAAAAGGTTTATTCTTGTACATAATTATTTAAGATATTATATTATCATATTAAAGTAGAACTGGGGCCTTCATCCAATTATGTGTCCATTTTCCCAGATCAACTGCATCTTTAAATCATAGTGTTCTCTGTGTAGAGCTGAAGGTCCATGAGGGGGAGAAAGAATAAGGCAATGGCCCAACACAACAAGTGCTGACAGAGGATCCTACAAAACTTCATCAATACAGGGGAAAAAAAAAATCACAAGCCATGTGCACTTTGATCAGAGGGGCAGGGGGCGTAAGTACCTCTCTGGTGCTTCGGGAGGTCTGTGTTTGGTTATCCACCCCAGGGCGCACGGTTTCTCATCTCTAACGGAAATAGTTGGGGCAGTTGTGTGCAGTCAGGTTCCAGGCTTTATCAAACGCCTCCACCACAGCTGGGAGCAGGGGACCCTCTTCACTGTAGTCAAGGTTCTGCTCTAGCTGCTCCAAGTTGGACATCCCAATGATCACTGCGTCTCCAAGAGAACCCTGGAAAGGGATAAGAGGAATTGCTCATCCTAAAAGAAATCTAATTCACCTCCCAAGCCTCTGCAGGCCAAATGTGAAACAAAATGGTTCTTTGCAGTAAAGAACATCCAGTAACTCCTGGATGTTTCGATAACTGACACCACAAAGTTCTGTTCCAAGGCCAGAACATCTCCAACTCCTACTTTACAGGGGACTAGGGGAACATTTTGGGGAGATAGGGAATATAACTATTAATTTCTTAGTCCAATGAAAAGCAAAGTCATCTCCTTGCAGGGAAGCTGTCTGGGTGGGAAGCCAAGACCCCAGTAACTGGCACTTTAAAATCTTCCATTTTTCCCAATCCTATGAGCACAGGATACATTTCTGTGGGGAAATGCCAGACTGACTCACTCCTACAGCCTGGCAGGCAGAGCCTGTACAGCCAGAGATTCACTTTGGAACACCACAAACCCCTGGGCTGTGCAGATTAAAAGAAAACTGCTTGTACACAGACATTTCCCTGTCAGTGTGACACAAGAGCTGCCCATTTCTGGTGGTGCAGCGCAGGTATGACCACGTCAGCCCCTTACCTGCAGCTTGGAGTGATTGTACAACCACTGCAGAGCAGCAGAGGTCAGGCTCGGTGCGTCGGAGCCGTAAGCATCTTTCAGAGCTCTGTCTACTAAGGCAATTCCTTCAAAATTGTGTTTTTTCCAGTACCTGCAAGGAAAGAAATCGCTCTTACTGCCCCTGGGACCTCCAGTGAATTGTACATCTATATCTCAAGGCAGTATGAAAGGCTTTCAGGAAACCTCATGCAATTCTCTGTAACCTCTGAGGACTCCTGCAATCCCCCACTGCAACTGGGAGGAAGCTGAGCCTAAAAACTGCAAAGCTCAGTCACAAGCCGCAGCCCCAATCACACGTGCAGATGTAATCGCTGCACAAACTTCAGTCAATTCTGCTTCCTCTCAGCTGATGATTAGTGTGGGTTTTTTTTATGTAGCCACATCTCCCTGCTCATCTCTCGGCTCAAAACTTACCTGTCCCTGTAGGCTTGAGCCCAGTCATTCCCAAAAAACCTTCCAGTGGGCTGGTGTGTGTCTTTGTCCTCGTACTTGTACTTGCCGGTCAGCAGCCCTCCTGCAAAGGGTGAGCAGCACGTTCAGGGATGGGCTGGCTCTTCTGCAGTCCCCATTTCCCATGTTTTCATCTCAAAATGTCACCCTTTCCCTCCCTGTACCTGCCAGCGGGTTGTAGGCGTAGAACCGCAGTCCGTAGTATCTCAGGCAAGGGAAGAGCTCAGCTTCCACCTGGCGAGTGGTCGCGTTGTACATACCCTGGGCAAAGATGAGGGAGACCAAGAGCTTCAAACACTAGCTTGTGAGAGTGGTTACAAGCACCTGAACAGCCTTTTCCCCACCCTCCCCTGACAATACTCATCCAGAAGAGCAGCTTCAGGTCACACAAAGTTATTAACTACTCAGGAAGAGACTTTCTAAAGGATTGCAAATAACACAAAAACTTTGTAAGTTCCACATCAAGGGAGCTGGACTGAAGCAACAAACGTGTACTCAGCTTCTTCCAAGAAGTGATCTCACTCAGCTTTCCAAACACATGTGTCCTCAAAGGACTTGCTAGAAAACTGCAGCAGCTTCCTTTCCTGTGTTTGTATCTGGCACACTGAGGGCTGGTCCCAAGATCTGGGGCTCCCAGACCCTTCCCCACGGTACCTGCCCGTTGCTGTAAGGACACAGAGCACCATCCGTACACTCTTCTGATCTGAAGCCTCATATTCTTTTGGTTTGATTCATCTCAGCCTCCAGAAAAGATTTACCAGACCACAGCAAGTGCCCATCCCTCACCTGGTACACGGTTGGCATCACCCAGTTGTTGTATTTGCAGATGGTGCAGATTTCTGCGACCTCCCAGGCTGCGTAGTTTGACAGACCGAGTTCTTTAAACTTTCCCTGCAGAGGAATAAAACAGTATCCAATTCCAGATTTTAAACGTGTATTTGTGTCTAGATGGTGCAAGATGCATATGGTGAAAAGGACCAAATTTTAGTCCAGACTTCTCTGTTCATCCCTGTACATCTTTTCTAGGTAGATTATGAATTATAAGACCTGACAAAAATATCATAGTATCATAGAATGGTTTGGGTTGGGAGGGACCTTAAAGCTCATCCAGTCCCAACCCCCCTGCCAGCAGCAGGGACACCTTCCACTAGACCAGGTTGCTCAAAGCCTCATCCAGCCTGGCCAAGAACACTTCCAGGGAGGAGCAGCCACAGCTTCTCTGGGCAACCTGGGACACTGGCTCACCACCCTCACAGTGAAGAACTTCTTCCTAATATCTCACCTAAACCTCCCCTCTTTCAGCTTAAACCCATTTCCCCTTGTTTTGTCATTAACTGCCCTTATGAAAAGTCCCTCCCCAGCTTTCTTGTAGCCCCTTCAGGTACTGGGAGGTCACTATAAGATCTCCCTGGAGCCTTCTCTTCTCCAGGCTGAACAGCCCCAACTCTTTCAGCCTGTCTTCATAGGAGACGTGCTCCAGCCCTCGGATCATCAATTGTTGGTTTTGAATTCACACCTTCCAATTTAAATGGCACTACGAGATTAATACAACTCAACAATTCTTCACCCATTAACAGCACTTATCTTAACCGAGTCAGTTAACAGGGCTGAAAGCAAAGTTCAGACCTTCTAACATTTCCAAGAGCTTTTCAGAACAAAGTGCACCACGTGAACACACGACAGAGCCTTGGTTTGGCTCTGCCTGGTCATCTGCATCTTCCTCTTCCTAGTGTTGCGCAAACTCAGCGCTGGGGAAGGGCACAACGAGCAGCCCTGGCTTAAAAAAGGTGGTGGGAGGGAAGGAGGGAATCAAGAGGTGGTCCAGGCTTGGACTTTACCTCTTTGTGCAGCTCATTGCAGGCACGCAGCGTCTCCTCCACTGGGGTCCCATGGTCAGGAGCATGGAGGTAGAAGAGCTCCACACTCGTCCTCTTCAGCCTCTCCAGGGATGTGTCCAGCTGTGACCGCACACTCTCAGGCTTCAGCGTCTTCCCATCCCAGGGGTTGGCCTTGGTGGCAACTTCCACTGGTAGAGAGAGAGGAAGAATGAGCAGGGATGATTCTACCTTCAGGAAGGGAACAGGGATGGAGGACATAATGTGAGGGTTGCTCAACATGTTTAAGGGAAGGCCCCTCTCAGGAACCCTGTCAGCCTAGCAGAGCAGGCCCTTCTCCTTAAGGGCTGCAGGTCCCTAAAAAGGACCTAAAGAGGGAGGTCCTTCTCCTCAAGGCCTGGGGGTCAGCACTAGCAGTGGAGTCCTTTCCCCTCAGGGAGAGTATCAGCCTGGCAGAGACCCTTCTCCTCAGGGAATGGGGCTGGAGGAAGTCCCTTCTCCTCAGGGATGGTATCAGCTTGGTAGGGAAGATTCTTCTCCTCAGAGAACGGGCTCAGGGGAAGCCCCTTCTCCTCAGGGACATATCAGCCTGGCAGGGGACACCCCTGTCTTCAGGGAATGGGCACAGAGGAAAGCCCTTCTCCTCAGGGATGGTGTCAGCCAGGCAGAGACCCTTCTCCTCAGGGAATGAGGCTGGGGGAAGTCCCTTCTCCTCACGGATGGTATCAGCCTGGCAGGGAAGACCCCTGTCCTCAGGGAATGGACCCAGAGGAAGACCTTTCTCCTCAGGGACAGTATGAGACCCTTCTCCTCGGGGAATGGGGCTGGGGGAAGTCCCTTCTCCTCAGGGATGGTATCAACTTGGCAAGGGAGACCCTTCTCCTCAGAGAACGGACCCAGAGGAAGTCCCTTCTCCTCAGGGACGGTGTCAGCCAGGCAGAGACCCTTCTCCTCAGGGAACGAGGCTGGGGGAAGTCCCTTCTCCTCACGGATGGTATCAGCCTGGCAGGGAAGACCCCTGTCCTCAGGGAATGGACCCAGAGGAAGACCTTTCTCCTCAGGGACAGTATGAGACCCTTCTCCGCCCTCACTGTGACCAGCCCCGGCCGTACCGGGCTCCGTACCGGGCTCCGTACCGCCAGCCAGCAGCGTGCCCAGGATACGCTCGGACTCTCCTCCCGCGTACATATAAGCGGTGTCGAGGAGGCGGTATCCCCTCCGCAGGAAGGCGCGGAGCAG